GGAGACCGTATCTACCTCCTGAGCCATTTATTACACTAAAACCCCAAACACATACTAGGCATTCATGAAAGACTCTATTATCGCCCAGGCCAGTTTGGCTCAGCGGTTAGAGCGTCGGCCTGCGGTCCGGAGAGACCCGGGTTCGGTTCCCGCTAAGGGCACGTACTTCGGTTGCAGTTTGTCCCCGGCCCTGGTTGGTCGTGCGGGTGGCAGCCACTCGATGTGTCCCTTCACGTCGATGTTTCGCTCTCTCTCTCCCTTCCTCTCTATCTGTACAAAAAATGGAAAAATATCCTCGGGTGAGGATAAAAAAAGAAAGACTCTATTATTTATGGCAAATAATTATGATCATAAAAAATGAGGCTCCCTGGTTCTTTGCAATGTGATGATTTCAAATCTATCCAATTGAGTCACCTGGCCTTACTAATAAATCTGCTTAATATACCAGAGGTTTGCTGTCCCAAAGCAGGACCTAGAGTCTGGCTTACCCTAAGAGCTAGCCACTAAGGGTGTTTGACTGCCTTTTGATTTGTTGGCTGCCCCCAGTTGGCTGTAGGGTTCTGGAGGGATGGGGTGCTCTCTCTGTACTGGGAACCAACGCCGCAAGCAGTGTGGAGGGAGTAGGCAATGACAGTACAGGTACTTACTAAGCACTCAAAGCCCTTTCTGAGTAAGGTAAACTCTGCTGGCAAAGGGTGAAATTTAGATAGTCCCTGATTTTCATTTGGAGATAAGGAGGTCTTGAGGCTTAAAGAAATATAATTTGATCACAAGAGACTTTTGGTGACTGGACCTGTATGGATGCTGAGTGGGACACTCCTCTTTCTAAATGAAGGGTGGAGGACCCAATGTCAGGGAAAATGGCAGCCAGGAAACTGAGTTTGGGTTTCTGCGACCATTTACCAGAACTGTGATTTGGGATACGTTACTTGGGCCATTAACTCAGCCAGTATTTCCTTTATTACAGTAACCAGAGTTATATTATGACTTGCTCCCACGTGTGCAGTCTATATGAACAACTACAACAAAGCTCCATGACAACAGCTTTATTTGTCTTGGCCGAAATGATAGCCCAGGAGCTTGTCACATAGTTGAGATTACAGATATAGAGAAAGGAATGGCAGTCTGGCCCTGTGCAAGGCAGAAGGAGCAGGGCTGGGGTTCCCAAGACATTTGAAGCCCACTGGCCCTCGGTTCTGGTTTCTAAAATGGGATCTGAGGGACTTTAGCACTATCCTAGTGCTGCTGCTCTAAGTGGGAAGCTCCGCTCAAGACTGATGATTCTGCTATTTTACCTGGAGAGGGAGCTTGAATTGGAGTATAAGATGTAGCCTGCAAAAGTTGTTTGCCCAATCCAAAAAGACCCACTTTCTCTCAGAGTCATTGGTCTTGCAAAGGTATGTGGAGAATTTGTAATATTGCTTGCCCCCTCCCCTTCCCTGGCATTCTTTTAGCAGAAAAGTAGTCCAGCAGTTTGGCAAATCAATGATTTTCAAAGCCTTTTATAAAGTTCCATTGTATTTGTATTCAGAAATAAATTGCAAAAACATCTGAGATGCCATTTGGTTCAAATGAATTTATGGAGTTGTCATTTAATAATATTAAACCTTATTATCTATAAACAAACCTATACTAGTTTTAAATCTGTATAAATAACAATACAGTGGGTACTCATGCTGAGCATGGGACATTGTTATAGCTCACGCACACTGCTGGTATCAGGGATCTCCATGTCCTCAGGTGTGGACACTATTAATGTTGAAAGCCACCACAATCATTAGTGGGAGCATTGATCAATGACACATCAGACCTCTCTTGGGCACTTCTTGGCAATGATGGTGCCAAAACCTTTTGCTTACCCAGGGCTCTGAAGCCTTCCTGAGCTCTGATTTCATTTGAACATCTCATGGCCCCCTGGGGGTAGGCAGGGACAGATGTAGAAAAAGAAGTGTGGTGGCATGTTCAAGGTCACAGAACTGGGTAAGTGGCACCATTAGGCAGAGTAAGTATATTTCTGGCTCCCACTTTAGGACTTCTCTCCTTTTCTACCTTTGGACCTATAGTAGGTAACTCATTTACTTAAAAGCAAATAAATTATTTTATCATTTAACACACATTTTTAAAACAGTATCACGGGTAATTTTCTTCCATCACTTGGTAATTATCTGAACTAAGTGACTAGCTGCTCAGGACAAATCAGCAGATTTGGGTTCTTCTAGGGTTGTTAGGCTGGACTGGGAAGATGACCTTCTGTGCTTTCTGCGTTGCTTCCTGTTGGGGGAGGGGAGACCTCTGATCACTGCCAAGGTGGCACTGGGCTGGCTGCCATCAGGGCAGCTCCAGTGATGGCTATCAGCTGCATACTGGTTAATGCAGAAGTACTTTGCAGTTTCTTCTCAATGAGCCTCCTTATATGGTTGTTATATAGGGCTTGGCAAAAGTAGGTTTATAGTTGTTTGTATGGAAAATAATATAATAACTAATAAATACAAGAATAAACTGTTTGACATACTGACAGCTGTAAACCTACTTTTGCCCCCCTGTATCAATGAGGGCACCCTCCAGGGTGAATCTATAAAGGAGATGGGACCCATAGGATGCACCCCATTCACAGGGCACCTGCGATGCGCAAGGTGCTGTCCTAAGCCTACGGTACTACAATAGCTAGACACTGCCTCCATCTTTTAAGATTGGTAATGAAGACTAGGACATAGAAGAGGAAGTTGTTGTTTTTCTTTTTTTTCAGTCAGAAATATTGGAAGATTTTTTACAGTTGCCTAGCTTCCTGATACTTAAATTGTGAAATATTAACTTCACTCTATCATCATTTCTAAAGTTTATTTTACGTAAGTTCCCATTGGGTGGAGAAGTCCAAGTGTAGAAAATAGTATGGAAATCTGCCAATTGAGGAATCAGAGTTTTGGAACAGGCCAATTGAAAGACCGGGACCTTCTTTTAGATATCTTTAGCTTAAGTTAGCTGGGAGGGGCTCTCTTGTAATTTAGAATGGCAAGTTTTCATAATTACTTGGCATGATGTGTTAAAAAAGGCTCATCCATGCTGAGAAGTTGCAGATTCTATAATGGCCTTTGTTCATCATTCTTGTACTTCAGTTTCTGGCAGTACTGAACTGTCAACTTTCCTTCTTTGCCACAAAGCTACTTCTTGAAAGTTAGTTATATTTACATTAGGATGGAGTTTCAATTTTTATAAAACTCGAAGTGTTGATTATTTAACTGTGCTTAGTAACCCTCCCCATTTCCAGTCTCCCTTCCGTAGATCCTGTCTTCAACTCTTTCCCCTCCTTTTTTTAAACAAAGCCTTCAAACCATGAATTGACATGATAGGAGTGGTCCATTAAGGGAAGAGATTTTGGTTTAGTCTCATTGTAACTCTGTTCGTTTTTTAGAATGCTAAGATGTATAAATGATGTTCCATAAAGTTACACAAATGGGGCTGCATTTACAGACTCCATTTGAGAGATTGTTTCTTAATGCTTGAGACTGCTCTCATTGAACTATAGGACCCTGGAAAGAAGGCTTCATCCCTGTAGCTTTGGGGTTTTTTTCCTTTTTACAGTCCATACTGTACAGTCAAATATTGCTGGGCTGCCAGCACTCCCACTTCCTGTGAGCATCTAAGATCACTCTCTCGACTCGTCATTGACCATAATCCATACCAATAGGAAATCTTTGCCAAATGGAAGCTTCTCCCCAATTCTCCTTCCTCTCTCTATTGGTACACCATGTGGTTGGGAGTTGGACCCATTTTTCTTTTTTGGGGGTACATGCCCCTAGCGGGAACCGAACCTGGGACTCTCTGGTCCGCAGGCCAATGCTCCAACCGCTGAGCCGAATAGGCCAGGGCTGGACCCATTTTTCTGTGCTGATGAGAGTACACCGTAAGATTGCGTACTCTCATGGAAAGATGGGTCTGGATTCATTCTGACTCCAACTAGAGAAATGACATCTTCTTGGTGTTTGCGCCTTTAGCCACCTTCAGTCTTCCTGTAAATGTTAGCCCCAACGGAGGTGAGGGGAATGGAGAAGCTTATTTTAGGGCCACGTGGGGAGAGGGGGGACCACTTCTGCTTTCCACTGGGAAGCTGTGTCACGGAGAGCAGAGAGAGGCCAGAGCGAGAAGGCCCGAGGGAGGCGGTGGCGAGGAAGTGATACTTCCTCCTGCTTCGAAGGCACTAGGCCTGTCATTTGCCTGCAGCCCCCTGCTTCTTCACCACCCGACACCACTTTTTCCTTAGGGTTCTTTCTACCACCCCTTGCTCTGTTCATTTTCACTTTGCCTTTGAGAAGGGAGTAGGGAAGCAGGGGGAGAGAGAGAAAAAATGAATTTAGTCCTCAGTGTAGAGCCTTCTTTGGCAGAGCCCGTGGTGGCCATGCTTGAGTTTTAAGCAACAGAAAGATGTACATGTTGAAATTCTCCATCATGGAAACCATTATGAAACTCTTAAGTAGAGGTTTTGAAATCCTTCAATGTTCAGGCAACCTAATAATTTCTTAATCCTAACTACAATGGTTCGGTGCTGTTGTTAACATTACTTAAGTTACAGCCTTTGGTTAAATTTTTGGGATTGAGCAGTGGCTGTCAAACGTTTGAACGACAACCCAAATTCTGGAACATATTTGACCTTGTGCCCAAATGCACATTTTTCTGTATGCAAAAAAAATTTTTTTTTGAGCCCCTCCTCCCAGGTGGTTGGGCGGTGGGATCGGAGCAGTCCTTTTGAGACCAGCCTGGTGAGATCTGTCAGGATTGAAACACACAGAGACAAGTGCAGCAGTTCCACAAGCGCCAGTCCAAGAGGAAGGTTTATTAAACAAATACAAATTAAGATGCATCTTAATTGTAGATATCTTAAAATCATATTAAATTACACTTACTAAGATGAAAGATATTTTTAAAAAGCTGAACACAAACTAATAAGCAATTTATAATACAATTTCTGAAATGAAATATTCATATGTAAGACACAATCTGTAAGCTCTGCATATCAGTAATTTTTATACTAAAGTTTTAATAGTGGTTATTTCTGAGGGATGGGCAAACGCTGCTTTTTTTCTTATGTACATTTTTTTTAAAAAGGAATGTTACTTACATGACTTTAAAATAGCAGTATATTGAGCAATGGAGCCATCATGACTGCAGAAGAAATGCGAGAGCCATTAGGAAACTTTGGGGCAAATGTGGCTATTGTGACATTTGTATGGGTATAGTTGTACCAGACCTGCCCTTGGAGGACATACTGTACTATGAGTGTTGTAAATAGAGGTGTTCTCTTTCTTTTTAAAAAAATCTTTTTTTAAAAGATTGATTTTAGAGAGAAAGGAAGGGAGAGAGAGAGAGAAACATTGATTTATTGTTCCACTTGTTTATGCATTTATTGGTTGATGTTTGTATGTCCCTGACCCAGGATGGAACCTGGGAGGATGCTCTAACCAAATGAGCTACTTGGGCAGGACTTACAGAGGTACTGTCTTAAAGACAATACCACTTCTGGTATTTAGTTATATTTAGTATTGAGTTAAGCAATTTTTTCTCGAATACCCACTGTGAGGCAGGCACAGTGTGCCTCAGAAGGGGGAAACAAATGTGGGGATGATGGTGGAAATCCCCAAGGCCACCTGGGCATGTGACCCTGGGAGGAACCGGGCTGGGAAGGAACAGATCTCGTTGGCGCAGGAATCATTCTGAGGCCCGAAAACTCGGTCTGAGAGGCAGTCAAGAGGAGTGGAGGACCTTGTTCAAGGAGTGTGGGATGCTCATTAGGAACTAAATTTTGGATTTTATCGTGTAAACAAAGGAGAATCATTGGAGCCTTTTAGTGGGAAGGCTATTTTCCCATCACAATCAGCCTCTTGCCTGGACTTTTTCATTATCAGGTATTGATGTTGCCAAATGATAAAGAGACATTGAGCATTGCTTACTGCTTTGATTAGGTGGGTGCTCATCTGAGGGACCTCCAGAGACTTCTGCAGAGATTAACTTGAGGTACTTGGTAAGTTTCCTAAATGATGATGATCTTGCTCAAACCTTTATCTACATCTTCTTGAAGAAATAAGCAATTTGGAGTTGAGGCCTAAGTTTCTATGAGGTTAGTATTTTCCACTTGATTTAGGAGAATATGTTGTAAAGCAGCAGCTTGGTGTTGGAATTGTGCTTTTGCTATATAAATTAGTTTATCAAAAGTATCACCATAATTAGGAGTGGCATTATTTGGTCAAAATGACATAATTTGCCAATTCTGAGGGTAATTACCTTGCATAGTCAGACTTAGCATGTTGAATAGCTACTGTATTTGATGTCTATTGTTAATATGTAAGACTATTAATAAATAAGTTATTAACGTTATTAATAACATTAATAATTAATGCTGATTATTAATTTTAGATTTGAGAAGAGACAGTATAATGTGGTGGAAAGAAAATAGGCTTCCAAATTAGACGGGTCTGAGTTCCTGTCTAGGCTCCAGTTCTTGTGACTTTAGTCAAGTTACTTATTCTCACCATTTCTTTATTTATAAAATGATAATAATACCTACTCAGGTGTGTGGTGGTGATTAACAGAGCTAATATATAATCTCTTAATAGTGTTTCTGGAACACTTTTTACTAGACTGTGGGCTTCCCTCTTAGAAGGGAAGAACTCTGTTCATTCTTTCCATCCACAAGTATATTCAGTTGACCCTTGCACAGCATGGGTTCGAATGGCATGGGTCCACTTATTCCTGGACTAATAGTATTTTTTTTTTTTTTTATCTGCAGTTAGGAATCCGAGGATAGGGAAAGCCAACTGTATGCATTGTTCTGTGCCATTTTATATAAGGGACTTGAGCATCTGCCAGGGATCCTAGAACCAATCCTCCACAGTTACTAAAAGGGATTCTTGTAGTTAAGTTTGTGGGGATTCACTGCATGGAGGTCAGCACCCCTACCCCCAGTATTGTCAAGGGTCAGTTGGACTAAATAAAAACTTTATATATTGTCACAGTCTGGGAAACAGTCAGAGTCTGGTGGGGGAGTCAATCATAAACCATCCTACCTAGCACAGTGTTTACGAGAGGCTCAGGTGTCTGGTCAGTTGAATTTGTAATCTGGCTGTGAGGTACCAGGAATTGCCAGAGGCTACAGGGGTCAAAGGATGGTCTCCGCATCCAAAGATGCTGCAGATAGTGGGGGCATGGGGACATAAACGAGTGTGATCAGTGCTGTCCTGAGGTACAAAATGCTCTGCCTGCAGAAGGAAGGGCTGGTGGTCATAGTGAGGACAAGATGCTAGAGCAGGGCCTGGGAGGGGGAGAGGAATTGTCCGGTTGGAAAATGCAAAGGTGTGAAAGAGCCGGGGGATTCCAGAAAGGTGAAGGTTCTCCTGCCTGGGCTACGGGGATGGACTGCATCCTTAAATAATGAGAGACTTTGTAATATGGAAAGTGACAGGCAAATATAGTAATGGATGCACTCCCTAGCTTCAAGTTAATTTTTAATATTGACTTATGTTAATCAATATAATCAAATACACACCATAAAAGTTGTTTTTTTGTATCTCTGAAACATACTGACCTTTTAAATTGTTTCAAATGTACTGGATGCCAAATATATATTAAAAAGAAATTTTACTGACCTGGTTAGAGTATTGGTCCACGGACCAACCGGGTTCGGTTCCTGCTAAGGGCATGTACCTCGGTTGCAATTCATCCCCGGCCCTGGTCTGCTTTTTGGTTTTCAGCTATTTTTAAAGTTTTAATAAGATAACCACTAACTGAGGATTTCATTGAAGTTTTTCTTAAATTTCTCTCCAAGTAAATCATCTTTCAAGAGTCTATTAGAAAATAATTTTCTGAATGCTTTGGTGAATGACTCTCAAATGTTACATTGTTGCTCTAGTTGTAAGTTTTTAACTAAGGTAATTCTATACAATCCAATAGAACAAATGATGCCCCCTCTGGTGTCAAGTGTCAACTGCTAGGCTTTTGACATCATCTGTCTACCTCCGTATCAAACACTGGCATCATTGAATCTATAGAAGGAAGATATTTTGGTAGTGTGTCTTACACATAGTCCTTAACAGGTAGTCACTTTCCCTTGAACGTTGGATCCCAAATATTAGTGCCTGCCACAGGTGATTCTAATGCAGATAATGGATGTCACATTATGCGAAGCACTGTGACATGGATATCCCTGTTGCCCAAACACCATTACTGCACCTCTCTTCTTAACAGAACCAGATTATTTCAGGATTCCTTGTCTCCCCTGGAGTTTCATCAGAAGTCTTCCCCATCCCCATCTGTGGTGGCCCTGACTGTTAAAAGGTTCCTGTTCTTGCCAGAGATTGCTTCATGAGTGGATGAGTGTTCTTGGGTTTGTACAGTAATCATTAAAGCAAGGTAATGTTCCAAAGATGGTCCTAAGATATGAGCAGAAAAGGAGCAAGGGAGGGAGGAGACAAGGCAAATTAGGGGTAGATGAGGAATAAAGAAACAAAAAACCTTATGTAAAAGTTGAAAAATTAGAAGGAAAATGCAAGTTATTTTGATTACTAATTTGTAATGTACATGGTATGTGGCTGTCCACTCTGTGTTTCTTCTAATCACACAGACTGGTGTGACATTAATGCTGATAACTGGGCTTCTGTAACCATAATTTATTTTTAAATGTATATTTGTTGAGTGTTGTGTTTGACATTGTAATAAATGCTTGGGGAAAAACATAAACATTGTTAAGTGTGAGGTTCCTTCCCTAGAAGAGTTTATTGTGCTTTTATGTCTCTGGGCCGTTCACAGACCAGAAGACTAACACATTAATTTGCTGTGGTCATGGGCAGGACAATAACCTTCTTGCTCAGGTGATTCCTGGGCACCTGGATTAGTGCACAGAAACCATTTCTGGTAAGAAGGAGGACAGTGTGTGTCAGGTGGTTAGAGTACAGGAAATGGAGTTTAATCACTTTTGGGCTCCAATTCCAGGTTTGTCCCATCCTAGCAATGGGACAGATGTCTCAGGGTCCTATATTTAAACCTCAAAGGTTGGTTGTGAGGATTCCAGGGTGCAGTGTGTGATGGATTCAGAGCTAGCCACGTGTGAGACATGTAGCTAATGGTAGTCATTGTTATTGTTATTATCAAAAGAAAGTTGCTTAGGGTAGCTGCTATTAAACAAAACCAAACAGCAACCAAAACAAACACTGGATAACAAGTGTCAGTGAGTATGTGGAAGAACTGGAAACCCTTTTTTTTTCCTCACCCAAGGACATTCTTGCATTTATCTTCAGATAGAGCAGGAGGGAGAGAGGGAGTGAGAGAAACATCGACGTGAGAGAGACACATGGACGGGTTGCCACCCACACAACCCCAACCGAGGTGGGGAACGAACCGCAACCAAGGTTTGTGCCCTTAGCGGGAACCGAACCCGGGTCTCTCTGGTCCGTGGGGCTACGCTCTAACTGCTGAGCCAAACCAGTCAGGGCGAAACTGGAACCCTTGACACTGCTTATGGAAAGTAAATGGTGAAACTGTTATGATAAATGGTATGGCAGTTCCTTAAAATGAAACATAGCCCTGGATGGTGTGGCTCAGTTGACTGGGCGTCGTCCCATGCACCAAGCAAGAGGTCACTGGTTTGATTCCCTGTCCGGGCACATGTCCGGGTTTTGGGCTTGGTCCCCAGTAGAGGACATGCAGGAGACAGCTGATGGATGTTTCTCTCCCCCCCCCCCCCTTTCTCTTTCTCTAAAATTGATAAAAACACATTTAAAAATTAAACATAGAATTACCATATGATCCAGCAATTCCATTCCTGGTTTTATATACCCCAAAGAATTGAAAACAGTCTCAAAGAGATATTTGTACACCGATGTTCATGAGATTTTTACTTATTTATTTATTTTTGTGGTACGTGCCCCTAGTGGGAACCGAACCTGGGACTCTCTGGTCTGCAGGCCAACACTCAACCACTGAGCCAAACTGGCCAGGGCTTACACCGATGTTCATAACAACGTTATTCACATTAGTAAATGGATGCAAGCAACAAGATATGTTTTATCCGTACAGTGGAATAGCATTCAGCCTTAAAAGGGAAGGGAATTCCGACCCACACTAAAACATTAATGAACCTTGAGAACAGTATGTTAAGAGAAATAAGCCAGTCACAAAAGGACAAATACTGTATAATTCTACTTATTGGAGGTACTCAGAGTAGTCAAATTTGCATGGACAGAAAGTACAATAGTGGCTGGCAGGGACTGGGGTGAGGGGAAAACGGAATTCTTATTTAATGGGTCTAGAGTTTTAGTTTTACCAGACGAAGAGAGTTCTGGAGGTGGGTGGTGGTGACGGAACACGAGACAGTACTCAGTACCTCTGCTTGCACATAGTGCTTTAGACGTAAATCTTATGTGCTTTTTATCCCAATTTTAAAAATGGTTTTTTAAAAGTTGCTTGATAAGCAGGAATGTGTACAAATAGATGAGAGTGGTCTAGAGGATATTTCATTGCGTTTGATAAATTTCCCTTATTCCGACTGGGGGTTTGCCCACCAAGCTGACTAGAGCTCCCCCTTTTTGAGAGGGAGGAGACAGGGTCTTTATTTAACTGGATCGTTTAATACAGGGCCACGTGGACTAATGGCTGACAAGATATTGAAATGACTGGTGTGTGTGAGAGAGGGACAGTACGATAACCGAGCATTTTAAAGGTAGAGATTGTGGAGTAGAGACTGAAGGAGGAGCTTTCTAACAATCCCAGCTGCCGGCCGGAGACGGCTGGAGTGTGCCGGGGTCCTTCTCCGTCCTTAGCAGCTTGTAAGCACTAAGTGAATTCCTTAGAGGACGTTTTAAAAAAGTTGAACTAAATGACTCTAAAACGGGCTTTCTGATTGGACAATTCTGTTGTTTCTAGCCATGTATACTCACTGATTCTAAATCACAGAATAGGAAGGAATATTTTTCATGGAGTTAAAGGGGAGCTTTTAAAGAGTTTTCCCAACACTGGAGTGTTTTGTTTTGTTTTTCTTTTAAGTATAACATACACCTGGAAAAGTACGGCAAACAGACAAGTCTAGGTCAAAGCAAACCATCATGTATCCACCCTCAAATCAAAAAGCCGAATGGTGCTTGCACCTACTGTCTCCCTAGACACCCCCCAAAATTTTTTTCCTCAAAGGCATCTACCATCCTGCTCCTAGTTTTAGCCTAATTTTCAGTGTTGGCGTTGTAGCAGTGAAACATGAAAGATTGCAAAGCAGCACAAGGCCATTTGGTTTGGCAGATAAACAGGTTTTCAAATCGTGGGTTCGGCTGCACAGGCATCTCTGTGTGTTAAATTACTGCAGTGCAGAGAGAGCGGGTCCTTGTCCTGTTTTATACCCTGGTATTCAGGTGCTCAAATTCTCACAGGTGAGTTTGATCAGAGCCTTACTCAAATTCCTTTGATTCAACCATTAGTTAATAAAATTAGATGACAGTAGCCATAAATAGCTTGTTTTTTTTTTTACCCATCTCTGCATAGCTAAGTATATTTATAAATGTGGGTGTGATAAGGGTGGTTTCCAGTGACCCACATGTAATCAAACATCCTGCTCTGGGACACAGAGCCGGTCTGTGCAGACATTTGAAAGAACTGACTGGCTCTGTGCATTCAGTTATGACTTTCCTCAGTAAGGAGGACTCACTTTTCTGATGTGAAAGAACACAGCATCCTTATTACTGACTGTTCTGCTTTATGTCGTTTCAACGTTTATTTTTGTTGGGGGTGAGAGCGAACCATGGTTTGACCTGTGAAATTTATTAATCAATGAAGCAACGCTTCATTTATTCATCATTCAGAAAACATTGCTGGGCTCCTCACTGGTCATGAATAGGCATGGATAGGACTTGCAGTCACATTCATCAGCTCTCAATAGCAGAATTGTTCCATCTATACTCAGGATGTTAAAATATTTGAAAAACTCAAATGAGGAATATAAATTTCTATTTCATATGCAGTAGAAAGAACACACAGGCAGCTGAGTACAGAGGTGTGTCTTCCTGTGACAGGGTTGCAGCTGTGATTCAGACCAGGTCAGGAATAACCAGGAGGCAGTGAGGAGCCCACAGTTTGCCCGCTGCCGGTGGCCCCGGTTGCATTTTCCTTTGGCCACAGTGCCTGATGCTGGGCATCTCTGCATTTTTCTGCTTACCTGCTGACAGCTGCTGGAAGATCTGAGCAAGGAGAGAATCCTGGGATGGAGGGAGGAGAGGATTAGACTGAGGACACTGACCCGAGCAGAGTAATTCTTACTTGAAGCTTGCATTCCTCAGTGGAGAATACAAAAAAATAAAAGATGGGAAAAAACTTAGCTGGATTCCTTACTTACCCTGATGAAGAATGAAGGGTGTGCATTAGTAACAGCAGAGCAGCTTGTGGGGAGTGTGTCACTCCGGATGAACTTTGGGGTGTCTGCAGAGCAGTGTCATGTCACAGTTACTAACAAAGACCCAGGAATGTGGTTCTAAGCCATGCTTTGTCACGTACTAGTCTTGTGGGGAGGGGGGTGTTAGATGAAGTTCTTTAAGCTCATCTGGCCTCGTTTTCCTAGTCCATGACAGTAATAATCACAGGCTTATCATGTATCTCATTCGGCTATTGCAAGGATTAAGTGAGGTAAAAGCCCTGAGAGCTCTTGGAGAAATTTAACTCAAGACACACTTTGGACTATTGTTTTAGATTCAAGTTTAGTACCCCTAGCTCTTTCTTGATACGGAGGATCCCCGCCACCTTCCACATTTATGGTATCCCCAGACTGTTTTGACTAGATTCACTTATACCTCTCCCTGAGTCCTGGGGGACTCTGAATTTTGGTGTACACATCAGATACAAATTCATTCTTTTAAAAATGTTGCAGAAGGCAAAGGGAAAACATTTTTTTTTCTTTATCGTTTTTTATAGAGAGAGGAAAGGAGAGGGAGAGAGCGTTAGAAGCATCGGTGAGAGAGAACATTGACTGGCCTCCTCCTGCGTGCCCCCCACTGGGGATTTGGCCCACAACCTGGGCATGTGCCCTGACCAGGAATCAAACTGATGACCTCTTGGTGCATGGGTCAATGCACAACCACTGAGCACACCGGCCAGGCAGAAAACATTTTTTTTATTAGTAGGCAATCCTTAAGCATGAAAGGTAAAGCAGTTGAAAACAAACAAACAAACAAACAAAAACCCACCTAGTTTTATAGTAAGGCAACAGTGAATAAAAACCTTGCCTAATGTGGTAGAGGTGCGTCCCCAGGCTCCCTCACTTCCATGTGAATGACCCGGATGAGAACCGAGCATGAACCAGGGAGCTGACTCTGCAGGCTGTAGGTCTGAGTGGATCCTCTGACTGACCTCCAGCAGCCCTGGCCTGTTTTCTGACGAGGAGATGAGGAGCAAACATTAGTCCAGTAGGGTTTTGACTCATGGGACTCTTATAATTGAAAATTCAGGAAAGAAAAGTTTTCTCTGTTGTTTCATAAAAAGAACTCTCCCCCTTCTCCAATCCAATAATAAATTACACGGGACTTAAAGTCTCACTAAATTAAAAACACCTTGAGATCAGTAACTAGTTTTTCAGATGCTGAGTAGACCCCCTTCACCTATGGTGTTTCCAAGGTGCTTGACTGCTCCCTGAGTTCTAATAGCAGGCTGACTGGTAGTCCTCGCTGTCTCGCTTTTATCTTTGCCTTCTCTACCTTGGTCTCTCCCCTAGTTTAACGGAAAACCCAGCATTTAACATGTACCCCAAAATACTTAAAAATCCTATTAGTATATGGATATAGCACTCTAAACCATCAGGATAACATTTTAAGATGAGTAAACAATTTTTTCTTATGAAAAGAGTAACAAAATTTTAAATGAAAGTAGATTTGGTTTCAAGAAACAACTTTTTTATTTTTTATCAATTTAAAATTTTACTATGCAATTCTGTAATTTTAAATAGATATGTAGATTTATTTAACCACTATCATAGTAAGGGTGCAGGATAATTTTACCACTCCCCCCAAAACTCCCTGCCCTCTGATAACCAAAGATCTGTTCTCTGTCCCTCTAGTTTTGCCTTTTCCAGAATGTAATATAAATGAAATCGTACCATATATGATCTTTTTTTTTTAATAATATGGCTTTATTGAGACATTATTCATTTAACTTTGAGGGTGAAGTATAGTTTTTGTTTGTTTTATCCTCACCTGAGGACATTTTTGCATTTATCTTCAGACAGAGCGGGAGGGAGAGAGGGAGGGTGAGAGAGAGAGAAACATCAATGTGAGAGAGACACATCAACTGGTTGCCACCCACATGACCCCAACCAGGGCCGGGGACAAACTGTAACCGAGGTACATGCCTTTAGTGGAAACTAAACCCGGGTCTCTCTTGTCCGAGGGCTGACGCTCTAACCACTGAGCAAAACCAGCCAGGCGAGGTGTAGTTTTTAATGCAATTTCTTTAATGCTTAATATTGTAGGGGGGAAGGACTTTACTGTGTCTTTTATTAAGTAGGATACTCAGAGTAGTTTTTTTCTTTTAGGTCTTATAATTTAAAAAAATAAAATAAAGGTCCTCTCCACGAGAATCCTCCAAGATGGGAAAGGGCAGAGTTAGTCACACTGGAATGGAAGTTATTTGGGAGGGAATACAAGAAAGCTGAGTTTTAAGTTCTGAGGGTAAACTGTGGGCATTTTGTTCTTCTGCCTGGGGGTGATGGCAGTGCTCTCGACTTCTGGGTTTACTTTGAGGAGACTTCTCTTTGAGCCTCAGTTCCCCCACCTGGAGAGTGGACACGGTCAGAGCTTCTCATAGGTACTCCCAAGCATCCAGTGAAATACGGTCATTTGAGCCAGTGCTTCTTAGTAAATCCCTCCTTTGCGAGAGGCTGTGTCAAGTAGGGATAATAGACAGAGGACCAGGTCACGTGACCCAGCTCCACACTTGCCACTGTTGGAGGTACAATCTGGGGCAAGTCACTTAACTTCTCGTTATCCCCCTTTGGCCATCTGTTTCGTGACGACGAATAACAGAAGTTGAGCTGTGGTTTTTTATGTTGATGTCCTTAAAACACAATAGAGCCTTAACAAATATTTAATATTTGCTTTTTTTTTTCTTTTTTGCTTAAGTAGTCATTTGTTGGCCATCATAGTCTTTAGGGAGCTTATTCTATGCAACTATATGGAAATTACTGAAAAGATTTTACAAAGTCTGTGGTAGTCTGAACTTAGATGCACACTTGGACTTTATCCAGCACTACTTTTTGGAAACCTTGTTAAAGCTTAGAAGCACAGTGTGTTGCTAAAAGGAAAGGAATGTTTGGGTGAATGACAGACAAAGGAGAAACCCACACCAGGATGGTTTAAGTTTACCATGCGTTGCTTGATCTCTGTAGGGAGGTAAAGGAACCTTCTGGTTCTTAGGGCCTCACATCCAGATGGTCCTACAGAAGACTAGCTAATAATAAGCCACAGGATCCAACCTGAAATTGTTTTCTTTAGACTAAATACTGATGTATGAGGACCAAAGAGAAAAAGGAGCAGGGAGTAATTAGTTTTGGCACAGAAGGGAAAGCCATTTTTTTTTTTTTTTTTTTAATTGGGAGAATTTTATAATGATACCACCACAGTTACTCCTTGTTTTCCTTTTCTATCTGGCAGCAATTACCTTTCACGGAAAATACAATAGAAATAGCAATCATTTACTGAGTGCGTGTCCTTTGTTAGGTAACCAACTCCTTACAGGGTGTGTTATCGACAGTCTTATTATTAATAAAGGAAACCAGGGCTCATAGAGTAAATAATCTGCTCCTAGAACTACTAGGTAGTAAATGGAATCTAAGACAGCTTGACTCCCAAGCTGATGTGTTTTATTTAACTTCAAAAGGTTATTTTAAAAAAAATCATGATTGTAATATGTGAAAGGTTAGGTCCTTGACTTTAGTTTATCAAGTTGACTCTATGCATTAACTTAAATGTAGACACAGGACAGTATGATTACTCCTGAGAGACTAATATAAATATGTTGCAGCAAACTATTTTTGAGCATATGTGTGTGCCATTCATTATTCTAAACACTTGCTAAGTTTCTATTCATTTAATGCTCACAATAACCTTATGAGATTGGTGCAGTTATCAGCCTTGTTTTGCAGATAAATAACGGTAAATTAACTTGCCCAATGTCATGCCGCTGTGCGAGGTGGAGCTGGAACTTGAACCCAGGCAGTCAACTCTACTGCTACAGAAATTAATGTTCAGTTGCTGTGACTTAAGGGAAACAAAAGCCCGGATGCAAAAAAAAGCAAAAAAAAAAAAGCTATGGTAGTTAAATTGTGACAGAGCCCCCAAATCCAACAATTTTGTGTCATTTTTACCATGTTCACAGCATGAAGAGGCAAAGAAAAAAACTTCATTGAAATTATGCTGCAAATTTAAACATTAAATCAAGAGTTTAAGCAGTGGTTCTCAACCTTCCTGACGCTGCAATCCTTTAATACAGTTCCTCATGTTGTGGTGACCCCCAACCATAAAATTATTTCCATTGCTACTTTATAACTGTAATTTTGCTCCTGTTATGAATCGCCATCAGAAATATGTGTTTTCCGATGGTCTTAGGCGACCCCTATGAAAGGGTCATTCGACCCCCACAGGTTGAGCACTGCCGGTTTAAAGAGTGACCATTGAACCCGCTGAATTTACCTGCATTCGCTTCAGCTGGCAGCTCCGTTTGTATCAGTTATAGTTGTCACTGTTTGCTGGGAAAACAATGTTCCTCTGCCAGCAAACCAGAGTAAATAATTTGTTCTACAGCTAAAACTGAATCCTGATTGGATTAAGCTTTCCCCTCAGTACTCAGCTCACATTTTTCTTTTGCTAAATACATATGTATCTAGCTTGTGTTTTCTTCCCATTATATAGTAACTCTTTGCCCCAGCCGGGTGGCTCCGTTGCTTGGAGCATCGTCCCTGTGCACCAAAAGGGTTGTTTGTTTGCTTCCCAGTCAGGGCACATGCTAAGGGCGTGGGTTCGATACCAGTGGGGCATGTGCAGGAGGCAGCTGATCAATGTTTCTTGTTTCTCTCTCTCTCTCTCCCCCCCTCTTTGTACCCCCACCCTTTTTTCCTTTCTCTCTCTCCCCTTTCCTCTCTCACTAAAATCAGTGAACCGTGAGGATTAAGGAGGGGAAAAAAGAACAAATAGTAACTCTTTGATATTTTATATTCTCCTCTCTCTTTACTTTAACATACTTCTTTGAAAAGTTGTTAAAACGATAAAGAACAGATTACCAATGGCAGAGAGCAGGATACCAGGCAAAGGACGTACAGATCAGCGAGTTGTGAGCGATCTGAACTGTTCCCTTCGCTGTCCTCGCGGCGTGTGCAGCGGTGCGTTGGAGGCCGAGGCGGGCGGCCGGGCGCCA